GAGGTCCTGGAGATCCAAAGTGATATCCAGCGAGGGGTGGAGGATCAGCTGGGTCCCGTGGCGCAGTAGCATCCCCATGCTGACCAGGACCGACTCGTTGATGGACTCGGGTCGGAGGCCAGTTCCTCCCTGCCACTGCACCCCCATTTTTTTGCCAGGGGGGTAATGAGGGGAGCCATGAGGACGGCTCCCACGGGCCGGCTCCCGAAGTCCTTGAGGGCCTTCAGGAAGAAATAGCCAGGGTTGCACCGGCGCCTCTGGCTCATGCAATAAAGGACGAAGAGGTCCGGAAGGGTTACCTTTCCCTGGCTCTCTTTGCGCCCGTGGATGGTCCCCGCCAGCAGCTTGTGGCAAATGCGGAGGGCTGGGGGAAGTGCGGAGCCCTTCATCAGCATGGGCAAAGTGGGTGCCCTGGTGAGCTCTTCCCACATCTCGCCGGCAGTGAGGTTGGTGGGGCGTGCGCAAATGGCCTCCTGGTAGTCCCGGGTCAGCACGTCCCCGGGTTGGACGAACCCAATGTTCACATTGAATTCATCCAGGGTGGTGGTCCGGTACATCCCACCCATGAAATATGTCACCATTTTTGTTGGTGACAATCCTGGTACCATGGCGGGAGTCTCGGCGTAGGAGACGGAGGCGAGAAACTCCAGTACCGCCTGGGGGTATACGTGGGTAGGTGGAGGCTGAAGGAGGAAGCCCCACCCAATGCTGTCAATGTGGGCCCGGACGTCGTCCTCCCACCCGAATTCGGCGAGAATGCCGAAATCCAATTTGAGCATGGGGTGCCATGTGTACCCCCGGATATGCTCAAGACGGGCCTGGTGCATTGGCGAGAGTTGAGTGGGATCCTGAGGACCGAGGGCTGAGGAGCTGCTAGGACCAGCAGAGCCTCTTCTCTTTCTGGATTGGCTTCCATGATGCATCTTGACAGTATGTTGCTCGAGAGTGAGAGAATAGAGAGTTGGGGTGCAGGAAGAGGTGTGGAGACCCCTAGACCCCCCCCTCTATTTATAGAAAATTTTTTGAATTTGGGACCGCCGTCTGGGAAGTCGAGACGGCAGTCTCGATTTCGTGCAAGTCGAGACGGCCGTCTAAAACCTCGAGACGACGGTCTTGACTTTGGCCTTAAGCGAGACAGCCGTCTCATTTTTGGCCAAGTCAAGACGGCGGTCTTGTTGGTCGAGACGATGGTCTCGTTTTTTTGGAGATCGAGACGGCGGTCTGAAAATGCGAGACGACCGTCTCAATTATAAGAGTTTTTTTTTTTGAAAGAAAATAGGACCTGGTTCAAAAACATTTTATGCATGCAATGTTTTTATGTTTGATGTCCTATAATGCCTATTTCATTTAATTTTTCAGAAGGATTTAACTGACGTGTCTTGTAGCGTTGAGTGCCCTCTGATCTGCGTTCTCGTATTTGGCTGTACCATTACGAAATTCTTGTGACCAAAGAATAATCTGTTTTTTTCTTTTTCTTTGTTTTTTTTTGTAGAGCACACATTGCCATGTAGTGTCCCTTTTTCTTCACTTTAGGGGTTTCAATCCTCTTATTGACTATACGCCTCCATATTTCCAAATTAATTATTAGAATATTGTTGTGAGGGTCAAGAGAAAATAAGTAAGAAAGCAAATTCAATGGCTTGTGTTTTAGATGGTTAATTTTTATTTAGAAAAAGGTTTTGTAAGAATGGTTGGCTAGGGTTAGGCCTGGGTGTTTAAGATTTTCGTCTAAGCAAACGTTTCCCCCTTTTTTCGTAGTTGCGCTTTAGTTTATCTCCATTGCTTTTTATGGCTAGTTGATCTCCCTAGATCGCCCTTCGGGTTTTCGAAATAGGATATTGTGTTTTGACCCTAACTTTTGTCTAGGTTCCTTTATTTTTGTATTTGTTTTTAGGGAATCCTAGTGAACCTTATTTTGTAACCCTAACTTTTGCCTAGGCTACCCTTTATTTTTGTTCGGGTATCCTACCGGGTTGACCCTATCTTTTGCGTAGCCCCCTTAGTGGGTTTCCTACCGGGTATTTTGCCCTCTTTTTTTTTTGGCCTTTGGCTTCTATGGACTTTTTTTTTTCTTTTTTTTATTAAATTTTTTTTTCACAATATTGGCGAAGCACGACTTTCTTTATGGTGAGGTAAAGCCTTATTTGGTGCTTCTAATCAACTAGCTTGATTGTAATGGCAATGGAAAATTTTGATTATTTGGATGCGCTTTTTATTCTTCCTTTTTTTTTTGTTTACTTAGACAAGGTTATTGTGAGGTCTAGTCATGAAATAATAAGAGAAGCAGATAGTAAGAAATGTATTCTTTATTAATTAATAAGGGAATATGTGCCCTAAAATGCCCGGGGGTCGGGCTAGCCCCGGGGGATAATCTCTAACAATCATGGGATTTACATCCCTTAAATGAAGAAAAAGATCTCCTAATGACTAGGGTAGCTCTTGACACTTGCACCCCTCCGCTTCAGAACATTTGCTTGAGTGTGCGGAGGGGAGACTTCCCTTTTCCTCTTTCTGTTCAGCCCTTAGTAGGGTCATATCCTAGGCCATACTTGGAAGGATTGTCTTTAAATTCTGGGGGTTCCCTCATGCCTTGGGAATCTGCCCCCAGTCCTTGGCCAGGATGGTAACCATGCTTCAACATCATACGGGCTACCTTTGTGTTTTTGGGAAGTATTTCTATACTGGCAATTTCGAGCGCTTGAAAAGATGTTTCAAGGGCCTCTTCGGCCGCATCCACATAAGGTTGGGTGGACGGTCCACTGATCAGGATATCATCCTCTGCTTGGACCGTGACCAATTTGTCATCCACTATGAACTTGACTTTTTGGTGGAGCGTCGAAGGTATTGCTTTAGCGTCATGAATCCAAGGTCTGTCGAGGAGACAACTGTATGCTGGAGTAATATCCATTACATGGAAATCGACGTTGAAGATAGTGGGTCCAACTTGGATTGACAAATTATTCTCCCACTACTTCTCGTTTGGATCCGTCGAAGGTTCGAACGATAGTGCTGCTTGGGCGCAGACGGGTTCCTTGGTTAGTCAACTTTTTTAGTGTGAACTTGGGCATCACGTTCAAGGATGACCCGTTATCCACAAGAACTTTAGCGATGAGGTACTCCTTGCACTTGATCAAGATATGCAAGGGCTTGTTGTGGTTTGACCCCTCGAGGGGGAGTTCTTCCTCTGTGAAGGTGAGGTGATCGCTTGCCATAATGTGACCGACGATCCTTTCAACTTTTTCTTGGGATATGATTTGAGGTACATGCGCTTCGCTCAAAACCTTCAACAGGGCATTTCTGTGTGGTTCTGAGCTCATCATTAGAGATAACAGGGTTATCTTTGCAGGTGTATGATTGAGCTGGTCAATAATAGAATACTCACTTTGCCTTATGAACTGGAGTAATTCTTCTGTCTCCTCCTTGGATTCTTTATTTTCCTTTTCTTCAATACTTTTATTTTTTCCTTTATTTTTGGGGATATCTTCTTGTGAGTCCTTGGGGGAGTAGACTCTTCCACTTTTAGTCATGCCCCCAATGCCGGCTATATTTGTGATATCCTCTTTTATTGGTGAAGATTCGTCATATCTCCATGGTACAACTTTATTTGACTCGTAGGGGAAAGGACGTGGCATAAATAGTCGCATTGGTGTCCTTGCCCCCTCTTCCTTATTTTTGAGGACCAATGGTCGAGGCTTATTGTCCTCTTGCGGCGGGTCAACCATTGGGGAAAGCTTGATTAGGAGTGACTTTCTCTCCATTCTTCTGATTTGGAAGACATGTCAGTTAATCCTTCCTTTTTATTATCTTATTTATTATGCGGGAAGGAGGGGAAATTAAATATGCAGATGAATGGTATGCATGCAAGTAGACAATTGTTGAATAAAAGAAAAATTTCATTCATTCATTTAGAAGGTGTACATTCCCCTACTCCATACTACGAAGCAACTTTTGGCAAAAACGGAAAAGCCTAAAGAAACTCACAGGCGGGTCTTGATCTCTATGCAATTCCCTTTCGGCTTCCCGGACGTGACGAGCAAGTGCTTCGCTTTGCTTCTGGACTGCCTGGCTCATATCTTCACTGTACTTTTGAGCCTCTTTGATCTTCGCCTCTTGATGGATGACCAAGGCTTGCAGTTCATCGAGTTTTGCAAGGGCTCAGTCCTTTTCTTGTAGTACTTGGCCGTACTGAGCTAGCCCGTCTCTTTCTTTGCAGTGCAACTCAGTGAGACTTTTGTTGAGTCTCCGATTGGCCTCTCGCTCTTGGCGTATTTCTGCCCGAGTCCTGGTGAGGTCTTGCAACAATTCCTTGATCGTCTGAGCCTATTTTGCTGATTCGGCCTCAAGGCGTGCTGATTTGGCGGTTATTTCTTGAAGTTGGCTATCCGAGCTGGTTTTGGCAGCTTTGGATGCTCGGATAGCTTGCTCATTAGAGTCAGCACACTGATCCTTGAGGCGCTCTATTTCATTATCCTTTTCTTCCATTGCCTTTGCAGACCATCAATGGCGAGGATAGATTCTTGTTCTCTTTCTTCAAGGGCCCTCATCTGGGCTCCCATGATTTCTATCCTCTAGGTCAAGGCATCGAATTGAGCTTGCAGCTCTTCACTATTGGTGCTTGTAAGGAGTGAGGTGGATGGTTGAGACATCCCTCTTCTTTTTCTCCACACCTCATAGTCACCGGAGACATCCACTCGAGCTTTTCCTAGCTCTCTATCTCCCATAAAAACTGGTTTCTCCCATGCTTTTCTCATGGCTAGTGAGCTGGCGATTGTGCATGGGTCTCCGAAGAAACACAGTCCTTTGAGTTCCCCTCGAGAAATTGTAGTTTGAGTCCTCATGAGTTGTCTCATAGCTACTCTAGGTGAATAGGCTATGCAACCCCTGAGTCCTATCAAGGGTACGTTCGGATAATCTCCACATCTGATGAGGACTGGATCGGGTCGAAACCAAGGGTAGACCCAGTGTTGCCGCCATCAAAACGAGGCAGTCGGAGCGACGCGATGGTTTTGACTTTCCGATTTTCGCGTTTTTATTGGTGTGGTTACAACGCCTTTAAGTTGTCTGATAACCAGGTTGAACCTAGGGGCGAGGTTTTCGAAAAGGCGCTCTTGGATTGTCCGATAACCGGGCTAAACCAAGAACTAATTTTGAAAGGGTTCTTTTTGGAGTCGCCACCAATGTTTTTACCGGAAACATCGGAAAAGGAGTAAAAAGGTGTTGGTTTTCGAAAAACCAACTTTGGTCATTAGAACCAGAGTTGGGTAAGGGAGTTAGTTACGTGTAAGGGAAGTGTTAGTTCCCTTACGACGCCCCTTTCGGGTTCCCTATGATAGGCTAGCTACTTTAAATAAATAAACCGGTGAAAATACGCTTTTACCCTTTATTTGCGGAATTTAAAGTTATGACTACATGGTCCTAGTTTCTATTGCATAATTAAAATTAAAGCGGTAAAGTAGAGAGAGAGAGTATAGAAACCTCCGAGGCAAGCTTTCTATTAATTCTTTGAAAACTAGGGTGCTTTTTGGCAGCCCTTCACTCTTTGCAACGCCGAAATCCCTCGAAAACGCTATAAAAAACTCTAGAAAGCTCTCAGAAACTCCGGAAATGCTTCGGAGGGGTTCTAGAAAGAGAATTTGAAGAATTGTCTAGAGAGAGAATGGAAGAATTGTGTGAAATGAGGGGAATGCGCGGCTATTTATAGGGATTCGCGCCTGTCAGGTCGAGACGGCCATCTCGTCTGACAAGGACGAGACGGCCGTCTCGCCTTGCAGGAATGGCAAGACGAGACGGCGGTCTCGCCATTTGCATAAGGCGAGACGGCGGTCCCGAATCCGAGACGGCAGTCTCGACCTTAAAAGGCAAAAATCCTTATTTTTATGCCAAAAATCCCTCCTATCCTAGTATGAGGCCTAATAGTCTCTCCTAATGGCTTCTTAGGCTTCATCCATCTTCAAAAAGGAGATCTTCTGGTCTTTATTATGAGGTCGGGAAAGATTTAGGGTCTACAGCTGCCCCCACTTTACTCGACTAGTCGACTGTTGGCCTGCTGTGCCAAGGAGATCGACTGGAGGGTAAAGGAGTTGACCCTCTTGCCCGGTTGTCCTTCAGATGTTCCGTCTTTGTGGAGGTTGATCTTCCGGGAAAAGGTGTGCTTCCAGGATGCTTCTTCTGGCGGTAGTTGATCCTTTCGGCTGATAAGTACGAACCCCTATCTGGTTTGACGAGTATGAACCCTCGTCCGGTAAGCCCCCTTTTATAAGGCCTGATGAGTATACACCCACATCTGGTGTTTGATGAGTATGAACCCCCGTCCGGTATGCCCCCTTTTGTAAGGCCTGATGAGTATACACCCCCATCTGGTGTTATGCCTCCAAATGCTCCTTCTTGTGGTAGCCGATCCTTTGGCTGTGGTGGCGGCTTACTGCTCTAGCTCATGCGCCATTGTTGAGATGTGTTCTCTTGTCTTTGATTTGGTTGTCCGGTCTGTGCCGGGGATTTTGTTGGTGTTCATCCAGCCTCGTTGGTTGCTGGGGATTCTTTGATTTTGATCTTTTTGAGGGTGATCAATCGTGTCGCCGCCGTAAAAAAACGAGGGCGGTGGGAGCGACACGATGGTTTTTCGACTTTCCGTTTTTTGCGTTTTGGTGTGGTACAACGCCTTTAGGTTGTCCGATAACCGGGCTGAACCTAGAGGCGAGGTTTTCGAAAGGGCGTTCTTGGATTGTCCGATAACCGGGCTAAACCAAGAACTAGTTTTGAAGGGTTCTATGGAGTCACCACCGATGTTTTTACCGGAAACATCGGAAAAGGAGTTAAAAAAAAGGCGTTGGTTTTTGCAAAACCAACTTTGGTCATTAGAACCAGAGTTGGGTTAGGGAGTTAGTTACGCGTAAAGGAAGTATTAGTTCCTTTACGACGCCCCTTTTGGGTTCCCTATGATAGGCTAGCTACTTTGAATAAATAAATCGGAAAATACGCTTTTACCCTTTTATTTTTGCGGAATTTAAATTATGACTACATGGCCCTAATGTTTATTGTATAAAAATAAAGCTATAAAAGTAGAGAGAGAGAGTATAAACCTCCGAAGCAAGATTTTCTTATTAATTCCTTCTAAAAATAGGGTGCTTTGTGGCAGCCCTTCACTCTACAGCGTCGGAAACCTCTCGAAACGCTAAAAAAACACTCTTAGAAACGCTCAAAAACTCCGAAAATGCTTCGGAGGGGTTCTAGAGAGAGACGGGCCCTATTTGTAGGGATTCGCGCTTGTCAGGTCGAGACGGGCCGTCTCGTCTGACAAGGTCGAGACGGAGGTCTCGCCAGTCGAGACGGCGGTCTCGGCTTGCAGGAACGTTGAGACGGCGATCTCGACAAACGAGACGGCGGTCTCGCCATCCGCGCAAGGTGAGACGGCGGTCTCGACCTTAAAAGGCAAAAATCCTTATTTTTGGACCAAAAATCTCTCCTATCCTAGTATGGGGCCTAATAGTCTCTCCTAATGGCTTCTTAGGCTTCGTCCATCTTCGAAAAGGAGGTCTTCTGGTCTTTATTGTTAGGCCGGGCAAGATTTGGGGTCTACAGCTGCCCCCCCTTTATCCGACTAGTGGACTGCTGGCCTGGTGTGCCAAGGAGATCTACTGGAGGGTAAAGGAGTTGACCCTCTTTCCCGGTTGTCCTTCAGACGTCCCGACTTGCGGCGGTCGATCCTCTGGGGAAAAGTGCGTTGTGTGCCTCCAGGATGCTCCTTCTGGTGGTAGCTGATCCCTTCGGCTGATGAGTATGAACCCCCATCTGGTTTTGATGAGTATGAACCCCCGCCTGGTAAGCCCTCTTTTGTAAGGCTTGATGAGTACGCACCCCCATCTGGTGTTTGACGAGTATGAACCCTCGTCCGGTAAGCCCCCTTTTGTAAGGCCTGATGAGTATACACCCCCATCTAGTGTTTGTGCCTCCGGATGCTCCTTCTTGCGGTAGTTGATCCCTTGGCTGTGGCGGCGGCTTACTGCTCTAGCTCATTCGACGATGTTGAGATGTCTTCTCTTTGTTTTGGTCATCCGGTCTGCACCGGGGATTCTGTTGGTGTTCATCCGGCTTTGTTGGTTGCTGGAGATTCTTTGTTTGTTGAGTTTTGATGATGATCACCCAACTCTTGCTGGTTGGTCGGGTGGGTTTTGTTTTTGTTCGACTTTTTGGTTGGTCGTCGAAGCTCGGTTTAAGGTGGTTGACTTTGTTTTCAATCCCGCCTTTTTCTCGCGGTCTTATCTCTTTTTTCTCACGACTTAGGATTTTGGACTTTTATCTTGAGCGTACGTCTTTTTACTTTTAGACTCTTTTGGTTACGCTGACTTTTGAAAGAAAGGTTGGCAATGAATGCATGGAATAAAAATTTTATTCATATGGGAAAGATTTATTACAGCCATTTCGAGCACTATCCCTAAGGACTATCCTCTGGAGACGATCCATGATAGGGGAATTGCTGGTACATATGTTCCCGGAATTCTGCTTCCTCCCGGGCTTCGTCGTTGTATCTTTGCTGGAATGTTGTCCAGTCTTGCCGCATTCCCTGCTGATATTGGTACATCGTCTCCAGCCAGGTGTCGAAGGCATCCTGCCGCACAGACATTTGATCGAATTGCTGGCACAGATCGTGGATATTGCGGTTTTACGCTAGCAAAGTCGTCTGTGTATTGGGGGGGTTGTTGGTGCTGATGTGGCTGCTGGAAGTCGGGAGGCTTTGGGAGATCGTGCATCGCCATGATGTCCTGGAGGTCTAGCGCAAAATCCAGCGAGGGATGAACGGCCAACTGAGTCCCTCGACGTATCAGCATCCCCATGCTGACCAGGATCGACCCGCTGATGGTTTCGGGTCGAAGGCTGGGGGCCAACTCTTCCCGGTCGGCGCACCCCCATTTCTCTGCCAGGGGAGTGATAAGAGGAGCCATGAGGACAGCTCCCGCTGGTCTGCTCCCGAAGTCCTTAAGGGCCCTCAGGAAGAAGTAGCCAGGGTTACAGCGTCGTCCCTGGCTCATGCAGTAAAGCACGAAGAGGTCTGAGAGGGTTACCTTGCCCTGACTCTCCTTCCTCCCGTGGACAGTCCCAGCCAGCAGCTTGTGGCAAATGCGGAGGGCTGGGGGGAGTGCCGACCCCTTCATCAGCGTGGGCAGCGTGGGCGACATGGTGAGTTCCTCCCACATTTCGCCGGCGGTGAGGTTGGTGGGGCGGCTGCAGATGGCCTCCCGGTACTCCCAAGTTAGCACATCCTCGAGCCGGACGAACCCAATGCTCACATTGAATTCGTCGAGGGTGGTAGTCCGATATGTCCCACCCATGAAGTAGTTAACCATCTTGGTTGGTGGCAGGCCCGAGACCATGGAGGGAGCCTCGGCGTAGGAGACGGAGGCTAGGAACTCCAGTACCGCTTGAGGGTACACGTGGGTAGGTGGAGGTTGCAGTAGGAAACCCCACCCAATGCTGTCTATGTGGGCCCGGACATCGTCCTCCCACCCGAACTCGACGAGGATGCCGGAGTCAAGTCTGAGCATGGGGTGCCACGTATAGCCCCAGATGTGCTCGAGGCGGGCTTGATGCTGTGGCGAGAGCTGAGGAGAATCCTGGGGAGCTGGCACCGAGGAACTGCTAGCGCCAACAGTGCCTCTTCTTTTCCTGGATTGACTTCTACCGAACATTTTGGCCAGAAAGTGCTATGAAGTGAGAGATCTGAGAGTTGGAGGTTCTGGGGTGCAGAGGAGTTGTGAGGAACCCTCCACACGCCTCCCCTATTTATAGGGAAAAATTCGATTTTGGGACCGCCGTCTGGGAAGTCGAGACGACGATCTCGACTATGGCCTTAAACGAGACGGCAGTCTCGCCAAGCGGGACGACGGTCTCGTCTTGCTGGGAGACCGAGACGGCGGTCTGGGATTTCCAGACGGCCGTCTCAAATTTTGGAAGTTTTTTTTTTTTTAGTATAAAGCAAATAGGACCTGGTTCAAAAACATTTTATGCATGCAATGTTTTCATGTTTGATGTCCAATAATGCCTATTTCAATTGATTTTTTCAGAAGGATTTTACTGACGTGTCTTGTAGCGTTGAATGCCCTCTGATTTGTGCTCTTGTGTTTGGTTGTACCTTGCCGGATTTCTTATGACCGAATGATAACTTGTTTTTCCTTTTCTTCTTTTTGCGGAGCACTCTTTGCCATGTAGTGTCCCTCTTTCTCCACTCTAGGGATTTCAATCCTCTTGTTGACTATACGCCTCCATATTCCCAAATTAATTATTAGAATATTGTTGTGAGGGTCAAGAGAAGAGAAGTAAAGAGATAAATTCAATGGCTTGTGTTTTAGAATGTAGATTTTATTTTGAAAGAGTTTTTGTAAGAATGGTTAGCTAGGGTTAGGCTTGGGTGTTTAAGTTTTCTGTCTAAGCAAACGTTTTCCCCCCTTTTTTGTACTTGCGCCTTAGTTTTATTTGCATTGCTTTTTATGGCTAGTTGATTTCCCTAGATCGCCCTTCGGGTTTTCAAACTAGGATATTGTGCTCTGGCCCTAACTTTTGCCTAGGTTCTCTCTTTTTGGATTTTTGAGGAATCCTAGCGGGCCTTATTTTGTAACCCTAACTTTTGCCTAGGCTACCCTTTTATTTTTGTTCAGGTATCCTACCGGGTTGACCCTATTTTTTTGCGTAGCCCCCTTGGTGGGTTTCCTACCGGGTATTTTGCCCTTCTTTTTTTTCTTTTTTTTGCCTTTGGCTTCTATGGGCTTTTTCTTTCTTGTACCTATTTCTTGTTCACAATATTGGCGAAGCATGACTTTCTTTATGGCGAGGTGAAGTCTTACTTGGTGCTTCTAATAAACTAGTTTGACCGTAATGGCAATGGTGAATTTTTGGTTGCGCTTCTTATTCCTTTTTTTTCTTTTTCATTTACTT